TGCCATGGTTTGAAATGTCAGCAGGACTTGGGAAAATGTTTTATTTCCACTCTGATACATGCTTTCCCTGAGGCAATAAGCGCCTGCTTGACCAAGGATGGGAAGGGGGGGGGGGAGGATTCAGATTTCCATTTACACATCAATGTCTGAAGTTTCCATCCCCCTATATTAAGTACAATGTGATCCTATTTTTGTAAAAGAAAACGACAGAGAGAATGATGGGTAGAGAAATGGATATAATAACAAACAGGGCAGCAGCACCAAGAGTCACCAAGAGGGTGGCAACATTGTGACATATTCATAAGCCATGAACCTGCTTGGGTTCCCTCTCTTGCTGTGTCTCTCTGTCAAATAAAATCTTAAAAAAAAAAAAAAACAGAACATAAAGCAGTAATAAAAAATGGGTAAGCTACTGTCATACTTAAAAACGTGGATGTATTTTAGCAACAAAGTTGAATGAGAAAAAGGGATTCCAAGAAGACTAGCATCGGTATGTTATTCTTCTGTTTAAAAAAAAAAGCAATACTGTTGAATCACAGATCTGTACCTCTGAAACAAATAATGCAATATATGTTTAAAAAAAAAGAAGATAGCAGTAGGGGAAAAATGAAGGGGAGAAAATCGGAGGGGGAGACGAACCATGAGAGACGATGGACTCTGAAAAACAAACTGAGGGTTCTAGAGGGGAGGGGGGTGGGGGGATGGGTTAGCCTGGTGATGGGTATTAAAGAGGGCACGTTCTGCATGGAGCACTGGGTGCTATGCACAAACAATGAATCATGGAACACTGCATCAAAAACTAATGATGTAATGTATGGTGATTAACATAACAATAAAAAACTTAACGAAAAAAAGGTTAAAATGGTAAATTTTAGGCTATATATGTATTTTAACCACAATAAAAAATTTTTCAATACGTTTACATACACAAAGATGTGATTCCTTGTTGGAAATGGCTATGTCTTACCACTGGGAGTCCAGTGGTATCTTCCACTTAATGAAAAGTCCCACACAATAGCTTTACAACCAAGTTCAAACAACTTCAACCAATAAAACTTCTTAGGCTAACTTCTTAGGCTTCTTAGGCTAACTCTTCCTTCCAAGTATGGCCAACAAACTTCTAAATCTTAGCAATTTTTTTCTCTTGTTAGGATGAGAGCAGCAACAGAAGTTATTCTGCCTTGGTTTCCCTAATACTCTAATTTACTTTAATATACGTGGCACAATTTCTCTTGATATTATATTGAATATCATTAATATTTAGAGGTAAATAAAAGTCAGCAATTAAGAAAAAAAGCAAAACTAAACAATATATTCTTAGACATGCACATGTCTTCAATAAAATTATTTTTTAAATTTTTTTATTGTTATGTTTGTTATGTTATGTTTTATGTTATGTTTTTTATTGTTAATCACCATACATTACATCATTAGTTTTTGATGTAGTGTTCCATGATTCACTGTTTGTGCATAACACCCAGTGCTCCACGCAGAACGTGCCCTCTTTAATACCCATCACCAGGCTAACCCATCCCCCCACCCCCCTAACCTCTAGAACCCTCAGTTTGTTTTTCAGAGTCCATCGTCTCTCATGGTTCGTCTCCCCCTCTGACTTACTCCCCTTCATTCTTCCTCTCCTGCTATCTTCTTCTTTTTCTTTTCTCTTAAAATATGTTGCGTTATTTGTTTCAGAAGTACAGATCTGTGATTCAACAGTCTTGCACAATTCACAGCGCTCACCATAGCACATACCCTCCCCAATGTCCATCACCCAGCCACCCCATCCCTCCCACCCCC